CTCTCTCTCTCTCTCTCTCTCTCTCTCTCTCTCTCTCTCTCTCTCTCATGTGGTGGGGGGCACACAGTCACATACAAGTTGTTTATGGGGCCTCTAGTTGTGAGCCGCCTGAGGTGGGTGCTGAGAACTGAACACGTGTCCTCTACAAGAGCAACAAACACTCTTAACCACTGAGCCACTTTCCTCAGCAACAAAAGATGTTTTTATCCATACTTATAGTATGTAGTATGGACAGAATACTAACAAAGTGTGTCTTAGTCACCCAAAGGTAGGATCATAAAACTCTTCCTTAGTGTGGTTAAACAAGCCTTCCTATAGCCGGCTGACAGGCTAGGCTAGGCTGTTAGGAAAAATTTAGAGAGCACTGTTCAGTTTAGTATCCCTTTGGAGACAGGTCATCTCAAAATAAAAAATAAATTAATTAATTAAAAATCCTGTCCTAGTAACAAAGACAGAGGACTCTAGAGTGTATGGCAGATCAAGAAAATCACAGTTACCATCTTTCAGTGATGTTACTTCCACAGGGAATCACACTGACCCCAGGGCTGAGTAAGTAAAGTTCATTCTATTGATTGTCCCAAGAGGGCCCAGATTTGTAATCCAATTGGATTCGCTACAGGTAAAATGTGTGAACACATTAACACTGCACCTTTCTACCTTTGGTATAAGATCTTGTGACAGTGTTATTCTAAAGTTGGTGTCAACTGTTTCAGGTTAGCAAGAGATTCCAAACATAGTGAAGCATACCTTTGCTATGGGATGGCCTGGCCTATCTACCCACTCTTAACAAACTATTCAACCTTGACTTAAGAAAATCAAACAGGTTATACTACTCGTGTGATCTTGTCAAGGCGACCCATAATTTCATCATAAATCAGGGCAGGCAGGTAACACGTGAAAGCCACAAATGGTTTTGTCACACCAAAGTTTACCTTTGTTCTAGTAAAACTAGACCTCGACCTACAGAATAATAAAAAAAAGAAAAAATTCGAACCAGCAATTACATTTATTTTGAGGGAAAAATAAGTAGGAAAACTTAAAAACTATACTATATAACTATAAATATCAAATCATCAAAGATTTGTAGAAGTCACACAAATTACAAACTCAAACTAGCTATAGTGCATAAAATAATCACACGTTAAGTTATTAATAATGAGCACAAGTCACCCGCAACATGACTAGAGAGGAATGCTGAGGTCCACTTCTTAACGAAAAAAGAGGTTCACTAAAGTGATACCCTAAAAGACTTAACAGGCCTCCCTGTTGACACTCATGTTATGCTTTATGTACTAAATAAATAGGAAATCAAATATGCACACACGCGCGTGCACAGGTGGGCTCGCACACGCGCGCGCGCGGGTACATACACACACATACACACACACATACACACACACACCAATCTAATGACCATTCACACTGTAAAATAAGACCTAGTTACTTACAAAAGCAAACTGATGTATTTCTAAGATGTTCTCATTTAGGAGTGATCTTGGGTATAGGGTGGGAGGGGAAGTATCACAGCTTAAGAAAAGGCAACTCTGATTTTGGAGCATACATTGAATTTCCTTGCAATAATAATAATTTTTTTAAAAAAAGAGGGCAGGTTTTAAAAAATTAACTTTCCAAAAGTCAGAATTTAGAAAGATAGATAAATAAATAAATAAATAAATAACTGTACCACCGTATCATGTAAGTTTTCCCACCTAGGCATGTGTGTAGGGTTCAACAAGAAACCACCCACCATGCATCCTCCACCTCTTAATCATGTCACCTCAGAAGCCAAGAGGCCCTGGAGCCCCAACATCTTGTGGATGGAATCCTAGGCACTCAACAGCCCATCTCTGTTCAGGCAGGACCGGTAGGACCACTTCTTCACAGCAGCCTCCAGTCACTGCCAGTCCAGTCACCTGGACCGGGAAGGGACGTCGCGGCTCGGCTGACCTGGCCACCCGCCTGCCACCCTCACGGGAAACGCTCGATTCCCACACTGGTCCACACTGCCCTCCCCGGGATGGGATAAGGGCAGACAAAGAAGTACGGGCCACAAGTTACACCGATCCCCGTGGTCCGGCTTCGGGATGCTGAGGGGCGCGGGCGCCGGCTCCGCAGTGGCCTCCCCGGTGGGACGGTCCCCTCGGTGGGACGCAGGTCCCCGCGGCCCAGCGGCCGGCGGCGGACACAGGGCGGCTCTGGGGACCGCGGGCTCACCTTGTTGAGATGCGGGTTCCGCGTCAGCAGGTAGCCGCGCTGGTGGGTGTGTCGGCGGCGGGGGGCTCGGGGTTCCATGGCCAGCACGGTGGCGGGGCAGACGCGGAGTGCGGCGGGCGGCGGCCGTGCGACGGAAGGCCCCGCGGCCGGGGGCGGGCGTGGGTGGCGAGAGGGGGTGGCGAGGCGGGAGGAGCCCGCGCCTAGCCGCCGCCGCGGCCGGGCGGCCCGCGAGAAGCGCTGAGTCACGGCGGCATCGGCCGAGCCGCCGTGCGAGGAGGCGGGGGCGGGGCGCCGGCCAAGCTGGTGAGCACCGAGCGTGCGACCTGGGCCCCGACGGGTGAGGGGCGGGCCGCCTCGCTTCCTTGGCTCGTCCACTGTCCTCCCCTAACCCCAACGTCCTGGATGCCAGCCATGTCCCCGAGGCCTGATGCAGGAGGGGATCAACTTTGACCCAGAAATCCCAGGCCTCGATGGCACTGAGCGAGCGGGCGCCTGTTTCTGAATAGTATCTGAGGGGCATTTGGTTTGAACGTGGTAAGAGGAAAGGTGTTAGAGGGCGGTCCAGTGAATAGTCCTGCTGAGCTTAAGAACAATCTTCCTGAGCGTTCTGGAAACCAAGATGTTAATTTTTGCAAGTCTATGATTTCTTCTTTGATGAAAGAGGGTCAGGATAAAATAATAATGATAATAATAATGATAATAAAAAGGACTTCCAGTATTGAAACCCTGTGATTGTATTATTGATATTTATACTTGAAGATCCAAGGACTGGAGAAGTCCCATGCCACTCAGGGATGTCTGATTGAAACAACCAAGCAGCCTTCAGACACCAAAGCCCTTTCTTTTCAGTTAAATCGCATGCCCAGATTCTATGGTAGACACTGCAGAACAGTTATGGGGTTATATATTGCCTAGATACCTGTGAAATGATTTCTAATTATTTTACTTGACCTTACCAGTACAGTGTTAGCTTTTAGGCTATGCTTGAATTCAGATGTTTCCTTGGCCTGGTTTTTAAATGATCTAGGCTCAGTTATTTTATAGAGAGCATTATATAAGCATCACACAGTTCTTCAAAAACATTTCTTGCACTTAACATGACACCTTTCATTGTGAATTTTATAACCAATAAATAATTTACCTCATAGCATCTGAGAAGAAGGTGTACTTTACAAAATTCCCTCTCCTAAATTAGATGAGGCACATTACAATTAGAGTGCTTTGTGTGAGGCAAGAACAGTTTAACAGCAGACCTGGAAGATAAAATTTTCCAGGAGAAACAAATTCCAAAAGTTTTAGTAGAATGAAGCTTTAATGACTTAAATTTAGAGATGACACTTGTCCATTCCTATGGGACTTAGGATCTGAAGCACCAAAAACTGATATAGAATAAACCCAAAGAGCATGTGGCCTCTTTCTCCAAGCCAACTTTACAAAGGGATTAGCAGAATCCTCCAGGTCCTGTCAAGCTGCTTTCTCTCACTTGTATGTTTACTCGTTCTCTGACAGTTCCAGTCATCTTGAATGGTGAGCACCCAAGGAGCTATTTTGTACCGTCATATACACTTCCAAAAAATGTCTAGTAAAAGAACCTATTTCCAAAATATTGACTGGACACCAAACTTTTCACTCTTTCTAGTCACTTGTAGAATTAGATTTTATTGCCAGAAACATAGAGAAACAAGTACATAGATTAAAAAAAGAAAATCAACCGTCTTTGCTTTCATTACCTTGTAAGAGGGGTTTCGATGTCACCCTGTAAATAATTGATCATGTAGAGAATGTTAAAAGTGGAGAGAAGGTGCTGAAGAGATATTTCGGCAGTTAAAAACACATGATGCTCTGCTGCAGAGGACCCAAGTCTAGTTCTCAAGGCCCAAGTGGTGTATGGCTTGCAACTAACTACCTGTACCTCCAACTCCAGGCATCTGATACCCTCTTCTGGCCTCCTCAGACAGTCCATTCATGGAGTACAAACACACACACAAAACACACAAACATACAAACGTACATGCATGCATGGGCAAACACTTATATGCAGAAAATAAATCTTAAAAAACAAAAGGAATATTCAAAGTAGAGGCTGGAGATGTGTCTCCTTGGTAAAACACTTGTTTAAGCATGAGTGAGCTTCTTGGTTTCCTTAATGTATTCAAAATGTTTTCTGAATACAGACTATACACTAAACTTCAGGATTACCAGCACATAAAGATTAGCTTGAGGGGGAGTCAATATACAAGAAAAGATATAGATAATCACAACATCTAAACTATGGAAAAAGAATAGAGTATATTTCAGCAATTAACAGGAGTCTCTCTCTCTCTTTTGGTTTTTTGTTTGTTTCTTTTATGGTGTTTGGTTGGTTGATTGGTTTGTTTAGTTTTTGTTTTTTCAAGACAGAGTTTCTCCGTGTAGTCCTGGCTGTACTACTGGCTGGCCTAATACTCAGAGATCTGCCTGCCTCTGCCCCCCTACCCATCCCCCCAAGTGCTGGGATTAAAGATATGTACCACCGGCCAGCTATGAAGTCTCATTTTAAAATATGCTTTTCATAATTTTTAACACAATGTTTTCTACTTAAGTACTTAAAAATATCTCTGGTGTAAGCATTTCCTTAGGGGTAACTAAAAAAAAAAAAACCCACCAATAATGTGTCACTTCACTTTACATATGTATGTGTATAGCAAACTTGCCTCCAGTGAGGCAGTCCTAGAAATACTCCATCAACGTGGAATGGGAAAGGACTCCGTCAGATAATGTAAATAGCTGATGTGCTTGTACAAAATGGCCTCAAATCTATTAGCTCAGAATCCAAAGTCTGCAATCAGATTTCCTTGACTTTGCTAGCTTATTCATCCCCAACTTCTGTGCACTACCTGTCTCCCCTCAGATACTTTCTTCAATAATAAAAACTATGCATTTGTCAACTGAAAATAAATCAGGCATATTGCTCTAGTTGCCTAATCTCTCTTCCTCCTTCTCTCTCTCTCCCTCCCCCTCCCCCTCCCTCTCCCTCTCTCCCTCTCTCTCCTGTCTCCCTCTCCCCTTCTCCCTCTCCTCCTCCTCCTCCTCCTCCTCCTCCTC